CACTCACTCGCTCACTCGGTTTGACGAGCAATCACTTTACCCACAAGGCTACCCCACTCACCTCCCAAACAAAGGTGCACAAAGAGATAACGTGAATTGAACCTGTTGCACATATTGATAAGCCAGAGGAAGAAAGTTACCACAGTGATCAAGAGTCATCAGTATATTTTACAAAATATTATACTGCTGTCTATGAAGGGGCGGTGATATAGCCTAGTAGTTAACGCGTTCGCTCGTCACACTCAAGACCAGGGTTCGATTCCCCACATGGGTACATTTCTGGTCTCCCCAGCCATGATATTGCTCGAATATTGCTAAAAGCGGAGTAAACTAAGCTCACTCACCAACTGTTTCTATGAAATACATTTAGCATTTTTACGTTTTTGAAAAGGCTCGCTGTAACGTGTCTCTTGTAAGATACCTCATGAACTCTTGTTTACAGAAGTGAAGTGACGTGAGGTGAAATTGGGTTTTGCGTCGTGCTTGAGAATATTTCGCTCATATGACGACGTGCATGCGTGTGCGTATGCTTGTTTATAGAAGTATAATTCTGTTATCTCTGTGTCATCTTTACACAGTTTCCCTGTCTGCCATTTGACAATATGGTTATGCAGATAAAATCTACTTAAATTACAAAGGACCAGGATGGCCTCACATAAACGCATGTCAGCATGTGATAAGCTTGCTTACACAACGGACGCGGATCTATAACGTTATGCTTGATACAATCCAGCTGTCTGATTGGTTCGTCGCCGGGATGTAGCCCTGTCGTACATTGTGGTTAATATATTTCCTTCTTTAAGTAAGTGAGTGAGTTTAGCTTTACGCCCCTTTTAGCAACATTCCATCAACATCACGGCGGGGTACACCAGAAATGGGTTTCACACATTATACCCATGTGGGGAATCAAACCCAGGTCTTTAACCACTTGGCTACACCACCGCCCATCCTACTTAAACATTCGGTTCAAGATCGTACAAGTCGTAGACGAGATGCAGGACACTATATCCCAATTGTGTAGATCGATGCTCATGCTGTTGTCCACTGGATTGTCTGGTCCTGACTAGACTTTTACAGATCGCCGTCATACAGCTGGAATATTACTGAGTGCCGCGTGAAGCAGCAAACCAGCCAAACAACCAACCACATCACTATGGAACAAAACGGGATGCACTTTCCCCGACATAAAGATCGCCAAACCAAAACTAGGTCAAACCAAAACTGTCGTAATAAAACTTGAATATTTCTGAGAGCGGCGACAATAAACCAAACTATAGCCGGCAACTTGCAGCAACGATAGAGATCGTAACGAACATATATTGACATCAACATCTAGGATACGAGAAGGCTTGGACGCAATTATACCTTCTGTCAGTACCTCTCAAACAGATGTTTGTTTATTTATCAGTACCTAAGTTCGTTTATTTGAAACCATATATGGTTGAAAGTCACCATATCATATATATACACCTGCACAATTGGTTGGTCCATTGCATGAATCAGATTATATGCATGCAGTTTGACTGGGCTGCATGAATACGTAGAATAAGGCGACACAAATCTCAATCTTGCGCATGTGCAGTAAGCACAAATGGAAAACTGTCTCGGTCGCTGGATCATTTTAATACTGATAAGTCGATCTGATCGAGTTAGTGACCTCGCAATAAAAGCTTAATTATAAAGCGTGTCTTTTTTCTGACTCGAAGATGCCAAGACATCTTCAGCATCCCTGCTTTGTCTGGTCAAGACATAGGCGATCGATCTTCACCATCTCAGGATTGTCTGGTCAAGACATGGGCGATCCATCTTCACCATATCTGGATTTGACATCTCGTCAAGACATGGGCGATCCATCTTCACCATATCTGGATTGTCTGGTCAAGACATGGGCGATCGATCTTCACCATATCTGGATTGTCTGTTTAAGACATGGGCGATCGATCTTCACCATCTCTGGATTATCTCGTCAAGACATGGGCGATCGATCTTCACCATATCTGGATTGTCTGGTCAAGACATGGGCGATCCATCTTCACCATATCTGGATTGTCTGGTCAAGACATGGGCGATCCATCTTCACCATATCTGGATTGTCTGGTCAAGACATGGGCGATCCATCTTCACCCATCTCAGGATTATCTGGTCAAGTCAAGACATGGGCGATCCATCTTCACCATATCTGGATTGTCTGGTCAAGACATGGGCGATCCATCTTCACCATATCTGGATTGTCTCGTCAAGACATGGGCGATCCATCTTCTCTCCATCTTCACTGGATCTGATTGTCTGGTCAAGACATGGGCGATCCATCTTCACCATCTCTGGATTGTCTAGTCAAGACATGGGCGATCCATCTTCACCATCTCTGGATTGTCTGGTCAAGACATAGGCGATCCATCTTCACCATATCTGGATTGTCTGGTCAAGACATATGGGCGATCCATCTTCACCATCTCTGGATTATCTGGTCAAGACATAGGCGATCCATCTTCACCATCTCTGGATTGTCTGGTCAAGACATGGGCGATCCATCTTCACCATCTCTGGATTGTCTGGTCAAGACATGGGCGATCCATCTTCACCATCTCTGGATTGTCTGGTCAAGACATGGGCGATCCATCTTCACCATCTCTGGATTGTCTGTAGTATCTGGTCAAGACATAGGCGATCCATCTTCACCATCTCTGGATTGTCTGGTCAAGACATGGGCGATCCATCTTCACCATCTCTGGATTGTCTGGTCAAGACATGGGCGATCCATCTTCACCATCTCAGGATTGTCTGGTCAAGACATAGGCGATCCATCTTCACCATCTCTGGATTGTCTGGTCAAGACATGGGCGATCCATCTTCACCATCTCTGGATTATCTGGTCAAGACATGGGCGATCCATCTTCACCATCTCTGGATTGTCTGGTCAAGACATGGGCGATCCATCTTCACCATCTCAGGATTATCTGGTCATAGGCGATCCAGACATGGGCGATCCATCTTCACCATATCTGGATTGTCTGTAGTCAAGACATGGGCGATCCATCTTCACCATATCTGGATTGTCTGGTCAAGACATGGGCGATCCATCTTCACCATCTCTGGATTGTCTCATGTCAAGACATGGGCGATCCATCTTCACCATATCTGGATTGTCTGGTCAAGACATGGGCGATCCATCTTCACCATCTCTGTAGTATCTGGTCAAGACATAGGCGATCCATCTTCACCATCTCTGGATTGTCTGGTCAAGACATGGGCGATCCATCTTCACCATATCTGGATTGTCTAGTCAAGACATGGGCGATCCATCTTCACCATCTCTGGATTGTCTAGTCAAGACATGGGCGATCCATCTTCACCATCTCTGGATTATCTGGTCAAGACATGGGCGATCCATCTTCACCATATCTGGATTATTTCTGGTCAAGACATGGAAGATCCATCTTCACCATATCTGGATTGTCTCGTCAAGACATGGGCGATCCATCTTCACCATATCTGGATTGTCTGGTCAAGACATGGGCGATCCATCTTCACCATATCTGGATTGTCTAGTCAAGACATGGGCGATCCATCTTCACCATATCTGGATTGTCTGGTCAAGACATGGGCGATCGATCTTCACCATCTCTGGATTATCTCTGGATTGTCTGGTCAAGACATGGGCGATCCATCTTCACCATATCTGGACATAGGCGATCTGGTCAAGACATGTCAAGACATGGGCGATCATCTTCACCATCTCTGGATTGTCTAGTCAAGACATGGGCGATCCATCTTCACCATCTCTGGATTGTCTGGTCAAGACATGGGCGATCCATCTTCACCATCTCTGGATTATCTGGTCAAGACATAGGCGATCCATCTTCACCATCTCTGGATTGTCTGGTCAAGACATGGGCGATCCATCTTCACCATCTCTGGATTATCTGGTCAAGACATAGGCGATCCATCTTCACCATCTCTGGATTGTCTGGTCAAGACATGGGCGATCCATCTTCACCATCTCTGGATTGTCTGGTCAAGACATGGGCGATCCATCTTCACCATCTCTGGATTGTCTGGTCAAGACATGGGCGATCCATCTTCACCATCTCTGGATTGTCTGGTCAAGACATGGGCGATCCATCTTCACCATCTCTGGATTGTCTGGTCAAGACATGGGCGATCCATCTTCACCATCTCTGGATTGTCTGGTCAAGACATGGGCGATCCATCTTCACCATCTCTGGATTGTCTGGTCAAGACATGGGCGATCCATCTTCACCATATCTGGATTATCTCGTCAAGACATGGGCGATCCATCTTCACCATATCTGGATTGTCTCGTCAAGACATGGGCGATCCACCTTCACCATCACTGGATTGTCTAGTCAAGACATGGGATAGATCCATCTCCACCATAAATCTGTAGTATCTGGTCAAGACATAGGCGATCAACCTTCATCATCTCTGGATTGTCTGAACACCGGCTTTTAAACTGTTCTTCATCTCACCTCGTTTGTAGAGATTACTCAACGACCTATTAACATGGTGTGGATTAGACTAACGCTTAGTATCTGAATATATATATATATATATATATATAGTGGTGGTGGTGTACGTCCACACGGAGACCATATTTTCTCTGAATCCGGGCTCGCTATCTTTTTCACGGTTACGACCTATAGGTGATCATCAAGCTTAATTACATCATGAACCCTTGAGTCAATTCTGTGATATTTCACTGCCTTTAACGTGGCCCCACCCCATGTGTGTGCGGGTTTGAACCCAGGCCTTTGACGATATTCATGTCACAGGACAGGGAAGTAATTTCAATGTCCAGACCCAGAACGGAAATGATTCACTGCGTTATCCCTGTTTAGCCAATCAGAATGCGGCACACAAGTCAGTCCGCAATTCACTTCATGAAAAACAATTTGATTGACTGATTCCATAATGGGGTAATTAACGTCCTTGTTCAGTTAAATATAAGCTGCATGTCGTGTCTGAGGTTCCATGCGGACCTGCACTTTGTGAGAAACCAGTGGTCAAGTGGCATTCACTTGAAACATGAGGCTCGAGCTTGTCTGTGTTTTACTGTGCTCTCTTCCATCTGTAACTTTCGCTAAAGGTAATTATTTTCATCATGTTTCATTTTGTCCGTCGCCCTTGAAAATCCAAGTTAGAATTGTTCTTCAGACACCCATGCTTGTCGTAAGAAGCGACTAACGGTGACCAGGCTCTCTGACTGAGTTGACGCATGTCATCGTATCCGAACTGCGTAGATACATGCTCATGATGTTGACCACTGGGTTGTCAGGCCAGTTTGTTTATCTCTCAAGGATTGTCAACGTGTTGTTCTAATCACCCGCAAATTCAACACGTGTTGGTGGTTTGGCACTTGAAATTGTCGTCACGTGACCCCGCACGTGCTTCGCCGCGTGTTTACAGAAGAACGTGCTGCATGCACGCAGCGTGGTCCATGTTTCGATGTCGACCTTCGGTAAATCGGCTCGAGAATAGTGAGGTCCAGCTTTATCTTCCCTCACATATAAATGTCGTTTTCTGATTGGCTGGGCGGTCTTCTATTTTTTTCAATGTATCCCGTTTACGGCGAGTAACATTGGAAAGATTTCGGCCCGTAAGCCACGGTTTTTTATCATTCTGTGCCTAAGAATGGGTGATTTTTATTTTAAAAAACGTAACCCTAACCCTAAAGTTGAACCTGACACTAAACCTAACCCTAAACCTTCGAAATAATCCTAATAAATAGAATACATTTCATGCGGAGATTACGGGCGGAACTCTTGCCGTAACGTTTTCTATGTTACCCGCTGGGAATGCCGAACTGTCAGTATTCATTTGGTACTTCATTTGACTCTTTATCTCAAATAATTTTGTCACGTATGATGTACGGATAATTACCAATGTTTTGCGAATGCAAGTCGATTGAAGGGAGTTAACTCTAAATTTGTTTTTCTTGATGTCTGCCATATTCATCTGAAAATCTAGTATTGGCCTAACTTCAAACAGTTCAAAATGACATTGAGGTGTTCGGTAAGATAAATATGTTGTTTACTGTCCCATGGGTTGATGTACCCTCTATGTTTTGTTATGTTCTCCCTGAGCCCAAAATATGGCACGACGGCGGTGTCCAGTACCTCAAGTTGATGACGATGACCATTAAAAACCACAAGTAATGGTGCTTAATTAATACGTTTAATTCAATGCGTTTCTGCTTTACTGGCCTGCAGAGTCTTCCCAATGTCCCGATGGATTTCTTCAGCACCGAAACGCTTGCTATTGGTTCTCAAACATCAACGGATCATTTGCTGAGGCAAGAGTAAGTATATATACTCAACAACATTAAAAACGTAACGCCTCCAACCTTATAATGAGGCTGAATTTTTTCAATGAACATAGCTGTAGCAAATTAGGAGCCATTTGACTATGTGGGTAATCCGAAATAATTGTCCCGCTTTAATGCGGAAATCGAGTTTTCTATAAATCTCTAAGTTAAACACATTTTGTATTTTTACTGATCAAAAAAAACGTTAATAAACTGATGCACTTTCAGTTCAAAACAATTGTACACGTACTACAGCACACTTATACTAGTAATAGTTAAATTCCGAATTGCAGAATCGGAATTTCCAGTCAATTTTAGTAGCACACATTAGGTTTTCCTACACGTGTGTTACTATTTTAGGGAGGGAATCCCTGACAGTCACTGGTCACGCCGCTGACATGCGAGTGATCGACTGAAAATTTTGATGGCTTGCAAATATGAACCTCTTGATATTTTGCAAACGAAAATCGGGCTTACTTGTAGGTAAAAGTAAAATGAAGTCATTCATATAAGTTTTTCGTGCGCAATAATCGTTACAACGGCTGCACGAAAATGCGACAAAGGATTTCCTCCTGCGAGTTGCTTCACAGCGTAGGTGTATGTGAGCGCTATGTATCTTAACTAAGACATGGGTAGACATGACAAAGGCCTATGATATGTAATGTCACATACTGAATAGACGGATCCAGAGGATGTGTGTGTGCATGGGTGAGCACACACACACACACACACACACACACAATCATTTACAGACTAATATTGCTAAGTGCGGTCGACCAGTTTGCAAGGGACAGGGTGTTGTTTTTTTTAAAAATTGGGTGGGGTAGGGGGGGGGTCATTTTGTGACAACGGTCGATCTCAATTGATTGAGTGAGTGAGTGAGTATGGTTTAACGCCGTTTTTAGCAATATTCCAGCTACATCACGGCGGGGAACACCAGAAATGGGTTTCACACATTGTACCCATGTGGGGAATCGAACCCGGGTCTTCTGTGTGAACGAGCCAACGCTTTAACCACTAGGCTACCCCACCGCCCCCTCAATTGATTGTCAGGACCAAGGTGTGACTCCAGCTCTCCTGTCGTTCAAGCAGCTACATGGACCTATACTGACATTTCAACCTGACAACGCCACGCCCCATACTGTAGCTCTGACGGGCAAAGTCTTGCGTAAGGCTGGTGTTGTCATGGACCGGCCCGTTCTCCAATCTTGAACCCGATTGAACGCATTTGGGATGAACTGAGAAAAGATTACCATCTTCAGAACTTGCCTGAACTTTGGCAAACTGTGACGTGGCGTTGCCGCCACGACCGCTCCGTGTGGTCACAGTCGTTATTGACTTCTGTCCTAACAGCTTTGTCAGTATGAAGTTCATCGAACGCCATGCTCTATTTTTGCAATTAAATGAAGCCACAATCCACTTTTCATCGTCTGTATTGTTACTAGATGATAGCAAAATGATTTCACATCTATTTGTAATTCACACGGTACTTCCATTGTGGGTTTCTTTTTGACAGGTGTGATGTTTTTCATTTGGCTGAAGATAGTTTCATTGTAACTCACTTACCGGGACCAACCAAAATGACCCACGAAGATCCGGGTTAGAATTGGTCTTAGACAAACCATGCTTCTCGTAAAAGGCGACTAACGGGATTGGGTGATCAGGATTGCTAATTTGGTTGACACATCGGCATGATATCCCCATTTGTTTGTTGTTTAACGCCACACTCAGAAATATTCCAGCTACGTGGTTGCTGTAAATAATCACCAGACAATCCAGTGATCAGCAGCATGAGCATCGGTCTACGCAACTGGGATATGACGACATGTGTCAACCAAGTCAACGAGCCTGACCACCCGATCATGTTAGTCGCCTCTTACGACAAACGTGGGTTCATGTAGATCAGTTCCAACCCTGATCTTCATGGGCGTTTACAGGTCTAGAACATACCAATAATACCAAATGAAATACGCAATTGTGTTACGATGACATGTTGTCTTTTCAGTCCTACTGTGAGTTCTTCCGGAGCCACCTTGCTCAGATAACCACCAAAGACGAGAACGACTTCATAACGGCCGAGGCAAACAAGACGGGACGAGGTGAGATCTGAAGGTCAACCGAAGTAACCTATATCCACCCAAGCCAACACTCTTGAAATGAGTTGCCACCTTTGTCCATTCCGTATGAGCCTATATACAACCTAACCAATACTAGTCCAATGCTAACCTTTCTCCATTTCTCGTGAGCCTATATCCCCAAGGCAACACTATCCAAATGTCAACCCATTCCTCATGAGCAAATATGGGGCCTCCTCAGTTGGCAATTGCTACCCTTCAACACTGACCCCGGTAAGTACTGCCCAAATGAGTTACCACTTTTGTCCTGTCCGCATGAACTTGTATCCACCAAGGCCAACACGTTTCAAATGAGTAATCATCTTTGTGTATTCCCCATGACCCTATATTCCCTCTGGGTAACACTCGCCATTCCTCAGGTCAATATATAGCCACACGCAACAAGAGCAATGATATATTCCTGAGTTTGTCCCCGTAAACCCAAACACACTCAAAAACTCAAACAACACCCTCCCCTTCCTGAAGTGTTACCTGGTGTTATCCTCGTACTCGCCTGGAGCAAACCCTTCGTAAACCCAAACACACCTAGAGCAACACCCTCCCCGTGAAGTATCACCTAGTGTTGTCCTTCGTAAACCCAAACTCACCTGGAGCAACACCCTCCCCGTGAAGTATCACCTAGTGTTGTCCTTCGTAAACCCAAACTCACCTGGAGCAACACCCTCCCCGTGAAGTATCACCTAGTGTTGTTCTTCGTAAACCCAAACTCACCTGGAGCAACACTCTCCCCGTGAAGTATCACCTAGTGTTGTTTTTCGTAAACCCAAACTCACCTGGAGCAACACCCTCCCCTTCCTGAAGTGTTACCTAGTGTTGTTCTTCATAAACCCAAACTCACCTGGAGCAATACTCTCCCTTCCCCCACCCCAACCCCCATGAAGTGTCACCTAGTGTCGTTCTTCATAAACCCAAACCCACCTGGAGCAATACTCTCACTCCCCACCCCAACCCCCATGAAAGTGTCACCTAGTGTTGTTCTTCGTAAACCCAAACTCACTTTGAGAAACACCTTCCCTTCCTGAAGTGTCACCTAGTGTTGTTTCTTCGTAAACCCAAACTCACCTGGAGCAACACTCTCCCCGTGAAGTATCACGTAGTGTTGTCCTTCGTAAACCCAAACTCACCTGGAGCAACACTCTCCCCGTGAAGTATCACCTAGTGTTGTTCTTCGTAAACCCAAACTCACCTGGAGCAACACCCTCCCGTGAAGTATCACCTAGTGTTGTTCTTCGTAAACCCAAACTCACCTGGAGCAACACCATCCCCGTGGAAGTATCACGTAGTGTTGTCCTTCGTAAACCCAAACTCACCTGGAGCAACACTCTCCCCGTGAAGTATCACCTAGTGTTGTTCTTCGTAAACCCAAACTCACCTGGAGCAACACCATCCCCGTGGAGTATCACCTAGTGTTGTTCTTCGTAAACCCAAACTCACCTGGAGCAACACCCTCCCCGTGAAGTGTCACCTAGTGTTGTCCTTCGTAAAACCAAAACTCATCTGGAGCAACACCCTCCCCGTGAAGTATCACGTAGTGTTGTCCTTCGTAAACCCAAACTCACCTGGAGCAACAACACTCTCCCCGTGGAGTATCACGTAGTGTTGTTCTTCGTTAACCCAAACTCACCTGGAGCAACACCCTCCCCGTGAAGTGTCACCTAGTGTTGTTCTCCGTAAACCCAAACTCACCTGGAGCAACACCATCCCCGTGGAGTATCACGTAGTATTGTCCTTCGTAAACCCAAACTCACCTGGAGCAACACTCTCCCCGTGAAGTATCACCTAGTGTTGTTCTCCGTAAACCCAAACTCACCTGGAGCAACACCATCCCCGTGGAGTATCACCTAGTGTTGTTCTTCGTAAACCCAAACTCACCTGGAGCAACACCCTCCCCGTGAAGTGTCACCTAGTGTTGTCCTTCGTAAACCCAAACTCACCTGGAGCAACACCCTCCCCGTCCTGAAGTGTCACCTAGTGTTGTTCTTCGTAAACCCAAACTCACCTGGAGCAACACCCTCCCTTCCTGAAGTCTGACCTAGTGTTGTTCTTCGTAAACCCAAACTCACCTGGAGCAACACCCTCCCCTTCCTGAAGTGTCACCTAGTGTTGTTCTTCGTAAACCCAAACTCACCTGGAGCAACACACTGCCTCCTCCCACCCCACCCCCATGAAGTGTTACCTAGTGTCGTTCTTCGTAAACCCAAACCCACCTGGAGCAATGCTCTCACTCCCCCCACCCCAACCCCCATGAAATGTCACCTAGTGTTGTTCTTCCTAAACCCAAACTCACTTTGAGAAACACCTTCCCCTTCCTGAAGTGTCACCTAGTGTTGTTCTTCGTAAACCCAAACTCACCTGGAGCAACACTCTCCCCGTGAAGTATCACGTAGTGTTGTCCTTCGTAAACCCAAACTCACCTGGAGCAACACTCTCCCCGTGAAGTATCACCTAGTGTTGTTCTTCGTAAACCCAAACTCACCTGGAGCAACACCCTCCCCGTGAAGTGTCACCTAGTGTTGTTCTCCGTAAACCCAAACTCACCTGGAGCAACACCATCCCGTGGAGTATCACGTAGTGTTGTCCTTCGTAAACCCAAACTCACCTGGAGCAACACTCTCCCCGTGAAGTATCACCTAGTGTTGTTCTCCGTAAACCCAAACTCACCTGGAGCAACACCATCCCCGTGGAGTATCACCTAGTGTTGTTCTTCGTAAACCCAAACTCACCTGGAGCAACACCCTCCCCGTGAAGTGTCACCTAGTGTTGTCCTTCGTAAACCAAAACTCATCTGGAGCAACACCCTCCCCGTGAAGTATCACGTAGTGTTGTCCTTCGTAAACCCAAACTCACCTGGAGCAACACTCTCCCCGTGAAGTATCACGTAGTGTTGTTCTTCGTAAACCCAAACTCACCTGGAGCAACACTCTCCCCGTGAAGTATCACCTAGTGTTGTTCTCCGTAAACCCAAACTCACCTGGAGCAACACCATCCCCGTGGAGTATCACGTAGTATTGTCCTTCGTAAACCCAAACTCACCTGGAGCAACACTCTCCCCGTGAAGTATCACCTAGTGTTGTTCTCCGTAAACCCAAACTCACCTGGAGCAACACCATCCCCGTGGAGTATCACCTAGTGTTGTTCTTCGTAAACCCAAACTCACCTGGAGCAACACCCTCCCCGTGAAGTGTCACCTAGTGTTGTCCTTCGTAAACCCAAACTCACCTGGAGCAACACCCTCCCCGTCCTGAAGTGTCACCTAGTGTTGTTCTTCGTAAACCCAAACTCACCTGGAGCAACACCCTCCCCTTCCTGAAGTGTGACCTAGTGTTGTTCTTCGTAAACCCAAACTCACCTGGAGCAACACCCTCCCCTTCCTGAAGTGTCACCTAGTGTTGTTCTTCGTAAACCCAAACTCACCTGGAGCAACACACTGCCTCCTCCCACCCCCACCCCCATGAAGTGTTACCTAGTGTTGTTCTTCGTAAACCCAAACTCACCTGGAGCAACACCCTCCCCGTGAAGTATCACCTAGTGTTGTTCATCGTAAACCCAAACTCACCTGGAGCAACACCCTCACCTTCCTGAAGTGTCACTTAGTGTTGTTCTTCGTAAACCCAAACTCACGTGAAGCAACACCCTCCCTCCCCCACCCCCACCCCATGAAGTGTCACCTAGAGTTGTTCTTCATAAACCCAAAGTCACCTGGAGCAATACTCTCCCTCTCAATTGGCACCTAGTGTTGCACCTGGAGCAATATCCTCCCCCTTAAATGTCACCTAATGTTGTTCCTCGAACTCACAAAGAGCAACTCTCTCCCTCTGAATTGGCACCTTGTGCTGCTTGTTCCTCATTTGAATAAATTAGTCTTGGGCAGCTATCAATGAATTTTGCTTCCTTCCTTCCATCTGGTTCAGAAGAGTGCATGTAAGGATGTGCATGTTTATCTAACTACGACACTCTATTTAAGTCTCTTTCCCAGATCATTACCGGCTTGGTGCTACTGATCTCATGGTGAGAGGCACGTTTTTGTGGGAGGGAGGCGTCGCCCTTAACTACACCAACTGGGACGATGGAGAACCTAACAACAAGGAAGGACAAGAGAATTGTCTGGAAATCTAGAGAGACCTTGAATATCGGTGGAATGATTTAAGTTGTAAATCTGCAGAATACTTCATCTGTGAAAAGAGAGCCTCCGGCTGCTGCTGCAGAAATTGAAGTGTGCTCACTGATGAATCGATTTAGTTAACTTGTTCAATATATACACAAAAAACTTAATTAAGCACCCTGTATTTTTTTAATGATAGGTTTTCAACACCTACTTAAAACTTCTCGTGGTGACCACGATGAAATAACTTGAGTTTTTCTGACCCGTATTTGACCTTTGACTCCTACAAAACGACAAAATGATGGGAATCCATGTTGATTTTATGATGATGAATGCTCATTTTAACAAAAACACTGATTCTCATACAAAACCATCTCTGTACAAGTATGGCCCTGAAATATTTAATGTTGAATTTATTGGTGAATGTGAACATTCAAAATGTCACTTTGCTTGTCTTACTCGATTCAAGGTCAATACCGAGTGTAACCTCAATGGTACTGTATGACAGCCAGCAACTCTCCTCCTCATACCCCCTGTCAGCCTCCTGATCCTCTGAAGGGGGATTCTACGCCATTCCTCGTGTAAAGCAGCTTCCAATGGGGCCTGGTTCTGTACAGGAGGATCCCATTGTTGCACACGACGACCAATAATGTCCCAGAAATGCTCCAAAGGGTTAAGATCGGGGTTCATTCAATTGTGAGATATCACAGAGGGTGCCTAAGTTCTTTTTGCATAGATAGCTAAAAGCTGAAAACAATCGATATCCCTTTGAACTTAGCATGAAGCCACAATTCCTTTTAGAAAGTAGTCTAATGTAATATGTATTATATTTGGGATACTTTCCAAGTAAAATGCAGATTTCGTCGAGTTCCATCCAGAATTCGAACCCACACTCTCCGAGTAATGCACCTAATCACAAGCACAACAACGTAAGCGATGGTACCCACTCAGCAAAAACAGTTTCCATAAAAGCGGAAGTCTGACGACCAGTAAGTTTAATCACGTATTTTGGTATTTTTGTTACACCTATGATAAGTGTAAATTGGTACGATTGCCGAGGCTATGAATACACAAAGTTTGTGATTTAATGTAACATTTGTTACATTTGGGATCACACTTTCTCAGTCTTTGTGAAGCTCATTCTTGTCTGAGAAAGCGTACTCCAAATTATTACATCTTGCATTTAACTGAAGTTGCTGTAATGTTGAAGAACCAAGTCATAGAAATGTGAACTTTCCGCCTTCCAAAACATTGCTTTCAAGGCGATGACATTTACTGAAGTTATTACTGCATATCAGGGCCTTATTAATCCGGACAATAATTAACCGGGCGATTTAATTAGAGTTGAGTTGAGTTGAGCTTTACGTCACATCGGCATTTTTCCAGCCATATAGTGACGAGAACAAGTTTGCATTAGTAAATATTGTTGATTTAATTAGAACAGTATAGTGGGTGCTGCTCACATACGTTTATTTGGAGAGACACATGTTGTTTGTCTGGTCCATACTCGATTATTTACAGACCGCCGCCATATAGCTGGAAAACTGTGGCGTAAAACTAAACTCACTCACTCACTTCCTGAAGATGTAACCGCTTTGATTTAATAAAGAAGTATTTTTTAATGTTTCAATTCGTGGTGGTTATTGCGATTTGAAGCCTCTGACTGACTAGTCAGATTAGAGTATTTAGGAAATCCGTGGTGGAATTCATTTTATTTTCAGATTTGCACATTTGGATTTCTAAAAGCACTGAGCTGAATTTGAAACACTGAACCGATTGCTCCGTACGTAAAATATAACAGAGAATATAGGGTGCTTCAAGAACCCAAAGGGCGGTTGGGTAGCCTAGTGATTAAAGCGTTGGCTCGTCATGCCGTAAACCTTTGTTCGATTCTCCACATAAGTACAATGTGTGAAGCCCATTTCTGGTGTTCCCCGCCGTGATATTGCTGGAATATTGCTAAAAACGGCGTAAAACCACTCACTGATTAACCAGACCCTTACAATTTGCATAAAGTACCCGTGAAGATCGTGTTAGAGTTGATCTTCAGTAACCCCTGCTTGGTTGACACATCTTGTCGCATTTCAATAACGTAGATCGATGCTCATGATGTTGATCACTGGATTGTCTGGTCCAGACTCGATTATTTACAGACCGCCGCCATATAGCTGGAATATTGCTGAGTGCGACGTAAAACTAAACTCACGCACTCTATTCACGCGAGTGTCATGCCAAATATCGGTTGCTGTTGATTTCGCTGAGGGTATTATCTTTTCAATACATTTTACTTCATGCACCTGACTTTTGTGATTTTAAACCATATTGATTTAGTACTATGATAAAGGATGTAGCGAGATAGGATGATGTAAAGTCGCCTTTGGCAGCATTTCAGCTATAACGTGACGAAAACTAGTCATTTCCCTTGTGATGGAAAACCTAATATAGTTAATCAGGACACGCTTGAAGGTGTTTCTTCCATCACAAGACACACAAAATGAAGGATCCTCACAATCTACTGAGTGACTGACTGAGTTTGGTTTTACGCCGCTTTAAGCAATATTCCAGCAACATCACGGCGGGGGACACCAGAAATGGGCTTCACACATTGTGCCCATGTGGGGATTCGAACCCGGGTCTTCGGCGTGACGAGCCAACGTTTTAACGGAAAGACTTCCGCCCGTATCCCCCTTAAATTTCATTCTAGTCGAATCATATCACCTGAATATATATATTCCTCATCTGGTAAGGATGAATTTTAGCATGTTTCTTTAATTGTATCTTAACATACTGAAAGACATATCCAACTTTTAAAAATGCCACTCAAAGACACTTTTCCTCATGGTTAAAATTTAGGGGGGATACGGGCGGAAGTCTTGCCACAATAACTACCGCGATAATAGGGGTCCCATGATACATGTTTGGTAACACTTCAGATGGAACTTAGCTGTGCTTTTAGAAGCTGTATTAACTTTCTCAGAGAGAGATTTTTCAATGCCATCTAGTTATTTCCATATTGCAACACATTCACTTACTTTTGCTCATGTTATATCCGTAAATGGAAGTAAATCACCGATTTTATTGTCAGTAATGAGACAAACATTCCACAGCCATGGCAGCGGCCATGTTGTATTACTGCACAAAATAGCTGCTTCCTGTATTCTGATTGGTCAAAAATACCTTGCAACCATGGTGATTCACTGCTTTAGAATTTTCCATTCAAAGGCTTCTAAATAGTTCATGTGCAAGTGATTTAACAAGAAAAGTTTTTTAATAGGCTTTATAAATAACAGCCTTAATTATAACACACTAACTTTGTATTCACCAGATATGTTGAAGCACTTTGACACAATTTAGTGCTTCGGCCCACGGCCTAATATTTCTAAAACGGCGTAAAACTCACTCAAGTAATTTATATATACTTATTTGTGTACCTGCCTTCTTGCATTAGATCACGTCTGTAAGATCCAATCACGGGTTTATAATCAGGGTATGGGCTAAGATACTGTGGCACAGATTTGTTGAGTGCTGGTTTAGCTACAGCATCAGGACCGCCTCCGTGGTGTAGTGGTTAGAGCGTCCGCCCGGAGAGCGGAAGGTCGCGGGTTCGATCCTCGACCGCGTCATACCAAAACACGTTAAAATATGGTACTTGTTGGTCCCTGCCTGGCGCTCGGCATTAATGGGTAAAACAAGGGCGGGTCGGTTCGGAGTCAGTATACTGTGTCTGAGTGGGGTATTCATGCTTCACTGCGGCATGGTATCTCAGTGAGCTAGCACTATAAAACCAGCTTAAGTCTTGGCTAGCACAAGCAGCCGCACATACACATACACACGCATGCACGTCGTCATATGAGCGAAATATTCTCAAGCACGACGATAAACCCAATTTCACCTCACCTCACCTACAGCATCAGCCATTGTGTTACCAACGACTTCAACAGGACTTGGTAACCAAAATAAGACGATGTCGCATTTTGGCCACTACCAATTATGTATCTTTAGAAGGCCGTGAAAATGAAACAGATGTATTCTAATCTGATGGATAGTAAGTGAGTGAGTGAGTATGGTTTTACGCCGCTTTTAGTAATATTCCAGCAATATCACGGCGGGGGACACCAGAAATGGGTTTCCCATATTGTACCCATGTGGGGAATCGAACCCGGGTCTTTAGCGTGACGAGCAAACAACCACTATTGCTTTATTACACTGTTAAGGTTAAGAATTTGCCGTGACAAAAAGTTTAAGAGTCCCCTTTGAAAGCAGAACACAGACAATTCTAAAATATTCAAGCATATATTGAACACACAATGAGCACGATTACAATGAATGACAGTACAGATTTCTAATACAAAATAATGGATTCACAAATCTAAAATATTGGGCCGACCAGTCCTTGTTGTACCCATTAAAGCCGAGCGCCAGGCAGGGACCAACAAGTACCATATTTTAACAACTTTTGGTATAACACGGCCGGTGATCGAACCCGCGATCTCCGGGCAGACGCTCTAACCACTACACCACGGAAGCATTACTAGCGGATTAGGGGCACGGGATGTTCACTTGACTATAGCATCAGTTGGCCCTGCAGTTGCATCCAAGGGTTATCCCAGAAACATATGATCGTGGGTTCGAATCCAGTTTGCGCCTATTATGTTTTAATGTTTGTCAGCACCGTGTGTGTGCCCGGATATGTTTCACCGAAGTGGTAAACATCAAAGATTACTCCAGGCATTCCTCCCACATTCAACAGCACTAAGTGGATATGACTGGGATACTGTCTAAAGCGGGAACAAACTCAACCCACTCCTTCACTTCACACGATTACGACAGTAGTACCTGAGGTCTTTTGTTATTTTGGGTAAGGATGCATTACGACGCAAACAGATGTATAATTTACACGGAACATTATCGCAAATCCGGTTAAGTCGTTACGTGTAAGTAAATATGGTATTTGTTGGAATTGTAAGTTATGTGTACATGTTGTATATATTGACAATTTTTGGTGGCAGTAATGTGTTGTACCGTATTTCCTTTAATAAGCGTCTCTAATTTGTTTCCCTCAGTATATTTACGTATATTTGTTAGAATTGTAAGTAGTGCTGCGCAATATAACCGATTTACCGGTATGTACCAGTTCAGATATGAAAACGATACGTATTGCGATACGCTGATCGAAAACCGGTATTTTGACATGCATTCGGAAAACTTCGTAACACTCTGAAATCTTCGGATATTTCCGTTTTTAAGTTGTTCCTTTCCTTTTTTTTATTTGTGCCAAATATTATTTACATTTGTAGTTTGACATGATTAACATATTTTATTAAAGTTTAATCAAGCATAGTGATTTTGTTGTGTTTTTGCTTTATAAATCAAGCATTAACTCGATTATAAGTAGTTTTTTCTTGAAAAAAACCGTCTTGCAATATATTGCAATACATATCGAAATGTACGCTTTCGCATCGCAATATGAAAATTCTCTGCAATACCCACCCCTAATTGTAAGTTAGGTGTACATGTTGAATATATTGACAATTTGTGGAGGCTGTTATGTGTTGTACCGTATTTCCTTTAATAAGCGTCTCTAATTTCTTTCCCTCAGTATATTAACGTATATTTAGCTCTGTGATATAGTTTGTGTAATTAATCTATCAGATATTTTAATAGTATCCTTATACATTATTTCCTGAGCTGGAAACTGACTAGTAAACTTTGTTTACTAAATAAATAGAAAGAGCTGTCGGTTCACACTGCAGTAGCTCGTTCTGTGATTTTTCTTCAATCCAGAGTCTCGTCAGTTACTACAACTCTTTTCACGTTTTTAATAGATCAAAATCCATGATATTACCACGCACTCTCACTCAAAGCTGGGTTGAAATCACATTAAAATCAGATATTTGTGCTTCATATGACACACAAACCGAACCCGACCCGATCAATGAAATGACTAAGAGAAAGTCGATATTATCCAATCAAAAAGCATCTTTCTTGATAACTTCTTTGAGAGGCATTAGAAGTTGGGGCAGTAAGGAAGGATAACAATATATGGATGGACAACTTGTTTAGTGCAATGAAAGCGACGTTTCGGTGTAGGTTCTAACTCAAGCACAGTATATCGCAAACAAACCCATACAGACCTGCAATTGCAGTCCTAATCCCCTATTTACTGTGCACGTGAGTGAATTGAGTTTCCGCCACTTTTAGCAATATTCCAGCAATATCACTGGGGCGGATACAGCTTTTTTGAGAAAGGGGGATGTACACTATTGAGCAAAGGAGCGGTGCACACTTCATTTTCACCAGAGTTTCAATGGTCATTTAATAAACTTTCAGGGCAAAAAAAAAGGGGGGTGGGCACCCCGGCACACACACCCCACACCCTGGATCCGCCTATGTATCATGGCGGGGAACATTGACTGAACAAACATCCCCTCAAACTTGTATATTCTTCTCTATCATCATGCTGTTCATCCCTTGCTTGATAACGGTGCTAGAACCAACACCGAAACGTCGCTCTCTCTGCAATTAAGAAGTTGTCCATCCATATACGATCCCAGAATCACCAGCTACTTGTCATTCCTAAAGTTCGACTCTCATCCTATGGGAAAAGATCATTCCAACACGCAGCCGCTAGTCTCTGGAACAACTTGCCCACTCACATCAAGAATTCTGAATCTTTGGACACATTTAAATCGTCTCTAAAAACCCACTTTTTTCGTCTTGCCTATTACTAGACTTTCTATGTTCAATTGTCTCTCTGTAAATAGTTTTACCTATTTTCTTTTCTCCTATAGTATTGTAGCGCCATGAGCGGGTATTCGTACCTGGATGTAGCGCTATATAAATACCCACATTATTATTATTATTATTATTATTAATAGCAGTACCCCCCTGGGAGTTTGGGAAGTATTCCGCTCCAAATGCATATCTCACAGGAAGAGAGATGGACAATGATTTTTACGGAATCAGTCGGTCGTGCAGCCAATAACCGACCGTGTTCCCCTTTTTGAACTTGCATGTTTAGAAATATTGGCCTAATGAAAGGTCGTTTTGATCGTAGCTTTGATCTTCAGTAACCTATGATTGTCGTAAGATGCGACTAACGGGATCGGGTGGTCAGGCTTGCTGACTTGGTTGACACATGTCATCGTATCCCAATTGCGTAGATCGATGCTCACGCTGTTCATCACTGGATTGTCTGGTCCAGGCACGATTATTTACAGATCGCCATCATATAGTTGGAATACATGACATTAAACCTACAAAATGTTAACATGTGCGATTCCTAATGACAACTATGGGCTGTTTATAATAATTCCATCGAAGTCTTTGTCTATCCTGGATTGTCTGGTCCAGGCGCGATAATTTTCAAACCGCCGTCATATAAACTCGCGTAACCTTGATTCGTGGATGTCAGGTAAGTAGAGCGAAATCGTATTTTAAATGCACGTCTGTATACTGACTGATTATCTTATTCATTGATTCAGCAAATTGAATACGCCGAATATTCCACTCATGTATGAAACATTTGTCTACCGAAGCCATTTACAATCATCACCCATTCGTGTGCACACAAAATGTGACGTCACCTGTTTCGTGGATTTAAATATTTTCACGTCTTACGTGTCGTGACTTATTGTTTATTGACATCTAGGAAAGCAGACGACGAGATGTGAGAAGGCTGGTGCTAACAGTATGCCTTTTTACTTGACTTTTTGTAAAAATAAAATTTGGTATTAGTGATCTTGGGCTATTTAACTCAGTGGTGGAGGTGGAGGACCAGCGGCGGAGGACTATGCGGACCGGACCGGCGGACCGGAGGGTGAGCGCGGACTGAGTGGAGGAAGCACGAATGTGGACCGACCGAGTGAGCCAATGGAAGGAAGGACTGACCGGATGGAGGCGGACCGGCGTGGCATTGAAGGACGACCGGAGTGGAGGACCGACAACCAGCGGAGCCAAGGCATGGACGGACCGGTGGACCCAGACGTACAAGGACCGGACCGGAGTGGACCGGAAGGCACATGGAGGAAGGAAGGTGGACTGACTGAGGGTGGAGGACGGGAAGGAGGTGCCCCAGTGGACTGACTGACGGAGTGGAAGGACCCAGACTGACCGAGGAAGGAGGTGGACCCACGTGGACTGACTGAGGCACATGGAGGTGGACCCACTGGACTGACCACACAGGCTGAGGAACATGGAAGACCAATGGAGGACACAAGGACCACAATGAATATGGAATGGACTGCCACACAGGACTGGAGAAGATAAATAATAAAATATAAAAAATAACAAAATACAAAACATGAAGTATGAACTAATTTGAATTACCGGTATAAAATAAATATAATACAGCAAATATGAAATAAATTGATAATGAATCAATAAAAAATATAATATGAATAGGAGTAAAACTAAAAGAATCAATAGAATAAATTATAAAATACACAATAAAATCTATAAAAAAAAAATAAATAAAATAAAAAAATAAACAAACAAACAAACAAACAAAAAAAATTTAAAAAAATAAAATAAAATAAAATAAAATAAAATAAAATAAAATAAAATAAAATAAAATAAAAAAATAAAATAAAATAAAATAAAAATAGAATAAGATAAAATACAGGAAAGGAGAATAAAATAAAATGTACGATGAATAAGATGAAATCAGATATGAAATATGAACTGTATAATATACCGATGAACATTAAGATAAATAAAATATAAAAATGCACACAGATGACATGACAAGCCGTTCCTCCCACATGGTTTATTGACACATTGCACATGTTGCATACAGAATATATACATCTTCATATCAGCCTTCCATCAGCCAACACTGCGGCACTCAAGGCCTTTTCAGGGTTAGCGTCATGACAAGGCCCTGACCATGAGGAATGGTACCAGTACTATAGACATAGGAAAACCAAATACTGTTATACCCTGTCCTAAAGATTTACCCTGTCTTTGAGGAATGAACATACTCCACATAGTCATTTCAATAATAATATCAATAACTGAAACAAATATGTATGGGACAGTACCCAAATTACTGTGTTCTGAGGGTGTCTGAAGTTCATAAGAATCGGATGGACTGAACAAACATGGAAAAAAGAAGCATCGGCTAACCCATAATGATCATGAATATTCGTTATATGTTGTTATCTGCAATTCAGTATTTGGGTTTCTTATGTCCTAATGGCCAGGGCTCTTAGCTGTGTAAAACCAAACACAATGTAGTCCACAACAGAAACAATAACAGACTTAGGTGTTAGGGCTGAAACGGTATACCGCGGTATTAGTAGAACCGCGGTATTTTACCTTTGGTTCGGTACACCGTAATGCAATCCAAAAATCCGGTATTTTCGGTTTTCGTACCGTCATTTTATTAACCTTTTTGAACCTTTTTATGTCTAGATCCAATCGCTTGTCAAAATCATGCATTTCTTTGCAAGATGTCAATTTTCTGCAAAATGATCATATCTCAACCGAACCGAACCGGAAGGCCTTGTACCGCAATACATACCGTACCGTGGTAAGACTAAGAGCGTACCGTGTCACCCCTATTAAGTTCAAGAACCTGGAAAACAGTACCTCATCAATATAACAAAATCTGATAGAAAACTAAAAATTGTCAAGTACAGGTACAGCCTTCTAGAAAGGTGGATACATTTTTCAGCTGTCAAAGAATGAGATCAGTTATCGCATAGTTTCTGTGGCAAAAGAGAAAATGAGTTAAGTCTGTTAGTCCATTTTGTTCAATTAAAGGGCAAGTGGTTACATATTTCAGAAATTGTTTGTTTGTTTAATACTGCAGTCAGTAATATTCCAGCTATATGGCGCTGGTCTGTAAGTAATCGCGTCAGGTTGTGCCCACCAAGACTTACCACCTGATCCCGTTAGTCTTTTTTATGACAAAGGATGGTGCGTTGTGATTGGTTGTGCTTATACTAGTTGTTTCGGAAGACAATATCAGGTAGTGCTTGTAACATAAGTCAGAATATTCAAAGTGGTTGAATTTTTTTAATATCTTTACTTACTTGAATTGAAACAGTATGTGATGGCCTTGGTTGTGTTGGGCTTGTGTATTATCAGGAAGAACTCGTAATTTGGATCAGAATACTGGATAAGAAACACTGTTAATGACTGTCAGGCTACATTTAATGCCGTGTGATGAGCGAACGCTTTAACCACTAGGCTACCCCACCGCCCCCAAAAGTTCTGGAAGACTCCAATCTTCATCAAGAAAGTTATTCCAGTCAGTCTCATCCAGCCCCCAAAAGCTGTCAATGCAAAAATGGAAGTAAAAATGAGCTTAATGTTCAGTACAGTAGCCATACTGTGCCTTTCCATTTCCAAAAAAATCTAAACATTACAAACATGTGGTTCAAGTTACTGGCACACAATTATGAAGAGCTGTATTTTTTCCCGAAAATTCCTCAGAGGTGAGAATCTGATCTGAATCTGGTTACTTCACTTCCTGAAATAATTGTGTAGATTAATTACTTGCGTTTCTAATATCCACAACGTCAGAGTCTGAACACGGTGATAGCGTTGTGCCAGGAGGACAACCACAATCGAATGTACTGAAAAAGTGCAGATACTTTTCTACAAAGAATGTCAGCTACGGATTCAAGTTGAACCAGTGTATTTCTGACTGAAATTACATGTATTAAAATGCTTCATTTCCTTCTGCCCTCTGGCTATTACAATGAACTTGAAGAGCTCTGCAATATAGAGTCTCAGGTGTTTCAGGAATATTTGAGAGTTGGCAAGGAAAGGTTGGATTCAGAGGCCCAGATAAGCTGCGTATCCAGGTAAAATACGCATAGAAAATTTCCAATTACGCATTGAAAAATAATTGTTGCATACCAATTACGCATTAAAAATGTTAGATACGCAAAAAGTTTAAAACAAATGCGTACGAAAGATATTTATAAAAATCGCTTGCGTAATGAAAAAGACATCGATTGCTATCAAGTTGTACTGTTAGTATTGGACAAGTGTTGTACTGTCAGTATAGGATGAGTGATTTTTTATGAAATCATTTCCATTATATTTAAGTTGGTTTTGATTAGGTATGACATAAGGCAGAACATACCTTAGTTGAGTAAAGTGACTGAAATACACACATTTGAAAGCAGTGGGTAACGGAAAATGAAATACCCACTCAACATTCATAATACCCACTCCAAAAAAATACAGTGGGTACAGTACCCACATGAGCTAAATCTTATCTGGAGCTCTGGTTGGATGGTTTGATCAGGGTGCAATGGGAATTGACGGACACTGATAGGGGACAGATGTCCTTTTGGGAGGAGACAGTATACTGGGTCATCTTGGTGTCTTTTTGGTAGCCTGCACTGTATTTGGGAACGCTGTGATGCATTTGTGGTTGAACTTGTGTTCTGCTTAGAGAGCTGTCATGATATGTTTGGAATAGAAGGACTATGTTGATCTTTGGGTAGAATACTGATGTTAAGTAAGGGTTGTGTTGTGTTTAGCTGACTGAGTTTTATGCCGCTTTTAGCAATATTCCAGCAACATCACGGCGGGGGACACCAGAAATGGGCTTCACACATTGTACCCATAAGATCGAATGTCTTGTGGTGGTGAACCAACGCTTTAACCACTAGGTTACCCTAACCCATCTGTTGTGTTTAGGGTAAAGTGAGTGACTTTGTATAGTAGAGCAATATTGATGTGCTTAGAAGGGCTGTTATGGTTTGTGTAGAATCTTGATGTGCTTAGTAAGGGATGCTTTAACCACAAGTGTAACCCAGCATAGAACCTTGATGTGCTTAGTTAGGGTTTTGCAGAATCTTGTTCTTTGGGGTAAATCTTGATGTGTTTGGGAAAGGCTTTCTGTGATATTAGGTAAAGGTGTGTTTGGGAATGGCTTTGTGATATAAGGCAAAATATGTGAGTGAGTGAGTATTGTTTAACGCCGCTTTTAGTAATATTCCAGCAATATTGCGGCTGGGGGACACAAGAAATGGGCTTCACACACTGGGATCCACTAGGCTACCCGGACACCCCGTCAAAGTGTGTGATATGCTGAGGTGGAGCTGTGTTAAGTTTGAATTAAATTTGTTCAGCTCGGCTATGTTGTATTAAGGGTGGATCTTTATTATGTTCTACAAGTGCTGTCATATTCTGTGGTAGGGCTATGGTCATGTTTGGGTTGACCAAAGTACTATAAGAATAAACACAAAGATATCCTTAGATGTTACAGCAAACAAAACGACAGAACCTCAGAATGAATCTAACTACTACACGTTAACTTTCTGTTGTGGACCACATGCTTGCCGAAAATGTGTGAACCGAGTCACGTGATCTCTAGTCACGTGACTTCAAGGTTCACACTTATTAACCTCATCCGCCCCCGCCTGCGCCGCCTCGTCTTGCTGGGCGGTACGTTCCAGAGCTGCTTCCTCCCATCAGGGGATTGTAATCTGCAAGAGAGATCACAAATTTATTCACATGACTTGGGTTTGGGTAGGATTCACCCACTCAAGAAGGGATGGTTTGCACCCCAATTTTTTTTCACAGTGGTTGTTGGGTGCTTTGGTTCAAGGACAGTGAGTGAGTGAGTTTGGTTTTACGCTGCCTTTAGCAATATTCCAGCAATATCATGGCGGGGGAGCCAGATATGGGCTTCACACATAGTACCCATGTGGGGAATTGAACCTGGGTCTTCAGCGTGAGGAGGGAATGCCATAACCATCAGGCTACCCCACCACCCCTCAAGGACAGTACAGGGTGGTGGGGTAGGCTAGTGGTTAAAGCGGTGGCTCGTCACACTGAGGACCCCGGTTCGAACAACCACAGAAGCTGTCGATTTACAAGACAATAATGTTGACAGGAGCAAACAAATTCTAAAAGACAACAGCATTTTTATCCAAATCCTGAAACCAGTCACCTAAAAAACTGACCGACACAATTACCTCTCACGCAAGGACTTTAACAAGGCTTTAACTGTATCAGAAAGTATTTCATCTCATTGATCTCATGGTGAAGTCAGTCATCAATAATATGATTATAGTGGCATATCTGTCTCCAGGCTGAGTATCTGTTGTAGATACCTGTCTCAAATGTGCTGAGTTTCTAACAGCTTCATTATAATCCATCACCACTAGCTTCCATAGTCAGACTGCCTTTCTAAAATCTGTCACTGTAAGCTACGTGTGTTTCACAGCTAATAAGGTAACTTGAGTGAGTGAGTATATCAGTGAGTATATCAGTGAGTGAGTGAGTATATCAGTGAGTAAGTATATCAGTGAGTGAGTGAGTATATCAGTTAGTGAGTATATCAGTGAGTGAGTATATCAGTGAGCGAGTGAGTATATCAGTGCGTATATCAGTGAGTATATCAGTGAGCGAGTTAGTATATCAGTGAGCGAGTGAGTATATCAGTGAGTGAGTATATCAGTGAGTGAGTATATCAGTGAGTGAGTATATCAGTGAGCTAGTGAGTATATCAGTGAGTGAGTATATCGGTGAGTGAGTATATCAGTGAGCTAGTGAGTATATCAGTTAGTGAGTATATCAGTGAGTATATCAGTGAGTGAGTATATCAGTGAGCGAGTGAGTATATCAGTGAGCGAGTGAGTATATCAGTGCGTATATCAGTGAGTGAGTATATCAGTGAGCGAGTTAGTTTATCAGTGAGCGAGTGAGTCTATCAGTGAGTGAGTTTTATGCCGCTTGTAGCAATATTCCTGCAATATCACAGCATGGGAGACCAGAAATGGGCTTCACATTGTACCAATGTGGAAAATTAAACCCGGGTCTTGGGGGTGACAAGTGAACGCCTTAACCACTAGGCTTCCCCACCGCCCCAAAATTCAAGCAACATTGACACGCTCAAACTACTATGGTACCCAAACGTACCTCTCAATTACATTAATGATATGGCAAAGGTAATATTTTACAATTTGTTTCTTGAACACCATATGACAAGGGTTTTGCATTACATGACATTTCATTGAATATGCTTTTGGTTTTTGCTAATAGTAGCATTTAAAAATGAATGTTTGCTTTGTTTGTTGTTAAACTCAGCAATATGCAAGATACATGGCGACGGTCTGTAAATAACTAAGTCTGGACCAGACAATCCAGTGATCAATGTCATGAGCATTGATATACGCAATTGGGATACGATGACATGTGTCAACCATGTCAGCGAGCATGACCACCTGGATCCCATTAGTTGACTCTTATGACAAGCAAACATAAGTGGGCATGTTAATTTTATTTTCAGCTCCATTGGTAGCATACAACCCAGACTGCCTATGAGGCACGGTTTTAGAGGTGTGACGATACAGAAATTTCACTATTTGATACGTATCGCGATATCTTGAACAATACCATTAGATTCGAGGCATATCACGATATGTTATCTTTAATTATTTTCCTTAAATACATGTATTTTGATAGCAAGTAACAGTGTGAATTTTGACACAACCCTCAATTACTACTGAAAATTAACAATTTTAAGGTCAAAGATACATATCATGATACGAAAGAATGTATTGATATATTTATTGCTAGATAAAGTATCATGATTATCGATACTACAATAGGTCTTTGAATGGCACTTAGAAATGATACACATACACTCTCTTTCTGATACCACAATATATTGTCACAGATCTACACAGTTTACAGAAATAATAATAAACATTATGATAATGACTGACTGACTGACTGAGTTTGGTTTTACGCCACTTTTAGCAATATTCCAGCAACATCACGGCAGGGGACACCAGAAATGGGCTTCACACATTGTGCCCATGTGGGGATTCGAACCCGGGTCTTCGGCGTGATGAGCCAACGCTTTAACCATTAGGCTACCCCACCGCCCATTATGATAATGATAATACATTCATTTCCATGGTGAGGTAAGGTGAGGTTGAAAAGGGGTTAACGTCGTACTTAAGAATATTTCACTCATATGACGACGTGCATGCATGTGTATGTATAGGTGCGGCTGCTTGTACTAGCCCAGTCAGAAGCTGGTTTTAGAGTGCTAGCCTACTGAGATACCATGCCGCAGTGAAGCATGAATACCCCACTCACATTATACTGACTCCGAGCCGACCAGTCCTTGTTGTACCCATTAATGCAGAGCGCCAGGCAGGGACCAACAAGTACCATATTTTAATGTCTTTTGGTATAACGTGGCCGAGGATCGAACCCGCGACCTTCCGCTCTCCGAGCAGACACTCTAACCACTACACCACGGAGACGGTCATTTCCCATGGTGCAGCATACAACTACTGTATGGATGGTGGGATATCAGTTCTGAAATGAATTGGGCACACATTTTCACTTTTGACTGAAGATGGTCCAATATTGTTAAGATTTGCATTAATTAGCAATAGTCCAGCAATAGCTTCTGCATATTGAAAGGATCTCCATGACAATGTCATCCTTCCAGGAACTCATTTGTACTAACAATTAGTGTGGGGATGCTGCTTTTAGCAATACCCGGTCATTGGTGGGTACATCAGAATTGGGCTTCATACTCAGTACTGACTGAGTTTGGTTTTAACCACTAGACAATATTCCAGCAACATCACAAGGGGACCCCTCATACTCAGTAACCATGAGGGAAATCGAACCTGGGGTCTTCAATGTATGGCAAATGCTGAGGGAAAGACTAGGGTCTGCAATGATGCATCAAACTATTGATGGATTGCAATTGTTGAGTTTCCGATAGCAATTAATCGATAGTAGAAACATATGTGTGACTAGCGATGGTTTGGTAATTGACTTTATTTTAATAAATATTTCTGTCGTTTTGTATTTTTTCATTCTTTGGGTGCAGACGTGCATCTTCATTGAGTTTTAACTGTTTACTTGATCTGGGTGTCAAGTTTCTTGTCAGTTATTAAGAGAGACTGAAACTACTTCAACTTGATTTATTTCATATAAACTATACATTCATTTGGGAAATGACTTCAAATGAGAAAATTCAAGGTGAAACAAAAATATTGCAATAGTTGGTCGTAATAGACCATCGCTATCGCAATAGTATGTTGCAATAGTCCATCGCTATCGCAATAGTTGTTTCCCCCTTAATATTAAGTCACCCCCATTAAAGACTAATCTCCCCCACAACCACCTGCTTTTTAATAAATTCAAGCTTAGAATTGAACTCAAATAAAAACAGTCCATGAAAGGGTGTCCTGCTCATGTTTAGTGAGTGAGTGAGTTTAGTTTTATGCCAAACTCTGTAAAATGGTGGTCTGTAAATAATCGAGTCTGGACCACACAATCCAGTGATCAACAGCATGCATATTGATCACACAATTGGGATATGATGACATGTGTCAACGAAGTCAGCGAGCCTGACCACCCGATCCCGTTAGTCGCCTCTTACGACAAGCATGGGTTACTCAAGCTCAATTCCAACACGGATCTTCACATATCGCTCATGTTTGGTAAATATGATGTGGCTGCCTTTAAAACACAAACTTCAAACCATGATACCTCAGACAATCAGAGCCAAGCTTCGAAAATTAAACCTTTAGGACATGCAAAATAAATATTCTGTAATCTATGATATTTACTAATTAAAATATGCACGAAGGACTGAGTCAAGGCATTCATCATCTGGAGGCGAATGTCGTTATTTGCGCTGTTCAGAACAACTGTACCAACAATACCCATGCATCGTAGACACAGTTTCATCATTTCCAGGAAGTAAAGCTCCGTGATTGGAAAACAAGATGGTCAAAGATACTATTAAAGCAGAGTGGATTATCATTAACGTCAATAGTTTTCTTTGCTCTGAGAAATAATCATTGCAGGATTTGTAGAAAAACACTAATAGCAATGTTCTTTCTAATAATAGTTAAGGGATATTATGTCGTGAATAAATATGAAATATGATCACGATTTTCAAAATTAGATAGAATTTGAGCCATTATTATCTGTAGAAAGTTGAGGCAATTGAAAAAAAATGAAAATGGCTTTGCTTGATAGCCATCATTGTCATGGAGATGCATAATTTGGTGCTCATTGGTTTAAAGAGTTTGCTCATCTTCAACATTTTAAAGGTGGAGTTTTGAATGTGCGTTACATTTGACTTCATTTGTGCAAAGTCTGTATCAGTCAGTGTTCAGTCACTACATGAGTGATTTGTTTGTGGGTTGAGTGAGCAAGTGGGCGAATGGTTGAGTGAGTGGTTGAGCGAGTGGTTGAGTGAGGGGTTGAGCGAGTGGTTGAGCAAGCGAGTAGTTGTGTGGTTGAGTGACTGACTGAATGGCTGAGTGAGTGAGTGAGAGGTGGACTGAGTGAGTGGTTGAGTGAGTGAGTGAGTGGTTGAGTGAGTGAGTGGTTGAGCGAGTGGTTGAGTGAGGGGTTGAGTGAGCGAGTGGTTGAGTGAGCGAGTGGTTGTGTGGTTGAGTGGCTGCGTGAATGGTTGAGTGAGTGAGTGAGTGGTTGAGGGAGTGAGTGAGTGGTTGAGGGAGGGAGTGAGTGAGTGAGTTAATGGTTGAGTGAGTGAGTTAATGGTTGAGTGAGTGAGTGAGTCTTTCAGAAAGTGGTTGAGTGAGTGAGTGAACAATTGAGTGAGTGAGTTGTCTTAGTATTTGAGTGAGTGAGTGAGTGAGTGAGTGGTTGACCGAGTGATATGATGACAAGGAATCAGCAAGAACCTGACCACCTGCTACATTTTAGTCAACACAGGTGACCACCACAATTGAGTACTGAACTCAAAGTCAGTTACATGCCACATACTTAGATACCTTAAGCTACAAATATCAGGAGCCTGGAGCAGAAACATCTGTGACTAAAACCTTAAGATGATTGAAAGCTCCTATACTACTCACACGTTGCTAAGGATCACAAAAATTCACAACTTTACTTAAACGTAGATTCATAATTTGAAATTGTATCCATTTAAAACTGAATAAATAATAATATGGTAACCCTCTTTAGGCAAACAGTCACTTTAATCTAACCTTATGCACTTGATACATGAGTAACCATGAAAATGGTTTTCATGGCACCAATCAACCATTTTGAAATCATGGAACGAGTCATTGACAAATAAACAACAAATGCCAATATCAGGTATGGGTTCCACAAGATGAAGTGACATACTGAAACCTAGGATCCATACTTACAATAAACTCAGGTATTTAAACCAAATTTGACCCCACATAATAGTTTTCTGTTGAATCCATGATTTGATCCTTAGCAAAGTGTGAATAGTATATATTAGAATAGACTCAGAATAGTTCCTCACATTACTGAGTGAGTGAGTGAGTGAGTGAGTTTAGTTTTACGCCATACTCAGCAATATTCCAGCTAAATGGCAGCGGTCTGTAAATAATCGAGTCTGGACCAGACAATCCAGTGATCAATAGGATGAGCATCGATGCTAATTGGGAAGCGATGAGTGAGTGAGCCTGAGTATTAATTTATTCCACTTTTGAAGCAATATTCCAGTCCACATTAAATGACATCCACAAAACAGCATGGCAGGGTATGGACCAGTGAGTGAAATGGCTTTACAACACTTTCAGCAATTTTCAGCAATAGTAGTGAGTAGACCAGAAATGGGCTTCACACATTGTACCCATGTGGGGAATCAAACCTAGGTCTTTGGAATGACAAGCAAATGCTTTAACCACTAGGCTACCCCACCGCCCTGACTGATATATGATAGACATGTTCCTAAAATCTAAGATTTATCCCTTCAGTTAATTTGGATGAGGAAGAGTGAGTGAGTATGGTTTTACGCCGCTTTTAGCAAATATTCCAGTAATATCACAGCGGGGGACACCAGAAATGGGCTTCACACATTGTGCCCATGTGGGGAATCGAACCCGGGCCTTCGGCGTGACGAGCCAACGCTTTAACAATTAGGCTACCCCACCACCCTCTGAAGAACTGACTGAGAAGAAGAACAGATGGAAGATAACACTGACTGACTGACTGAGCCGTTTTTACGCTTTAGCAATATTCCAGAAACATCACGCAATGGGGACACCAGAAATGGGCTTAACACATTGTGCCCATGTGGGGAATCGAACCCGGCCTTCGGGCGTGACGAGCCAACGCTTTAACCACTAGGCTACCCCACCGCCCCCCACCGCCCTGGAAGATAACGATGGATGAAGGATCAACACAATGACCATGAACATTATGGTGTCGCATCAGAATCTTTGCCTACTGCAACAGGAATTTTCACAAATGACGCAGCATCTCAGACAAGCAAACCGTAACACAATCCTACATCATACCCTAACGGCTAACAAAAGTGCTTGATTTGTCTGGTGGTGAAATACTAATTTTCCAATATATGGATCAGCAGTCTGATGAGAACAGATTAATTGTTGCTGAAGCTGGTATGTCCTATAGAGCCTTAACACAGCTTCAACGGAAACAACTTCATAAATACCACCGCATGACCATCAACGTAGTCGTGCCATTTCTCGGAGTATTTGTCATCCCAAAACGTTGGCATTTTCACAAGAATCATGCCTGGGGTAATTAGTCCCCAGTTGAAGGTACAAAGGCCAGACTTACCATCAGATACAGTCACAAGACATAATGATCAAAACAACTGATTGTCTACAGTTTCGTAGTTCAAACAATAAAGGCATTACTTTCAAGAACAGAGTCAGAATCTTCTGTTTTGAAAGATCTCGGCTCAATACAATTATGAATTTCTCTCACTAATCTTTAGATGACTTCTTGGTTGCTGCATCTCGATGAGATATGTACATGTATAAGACAAAATATTCAACTTCTTCTTTATTGTATACACAACGTTTCTGGGCTATTCCTTGCCCCTTCGTCAGGTGAATGATATGTACATGTAATTAGAAGCAACACACCCCTTTCCACATCCACGAGGAATCTCTGCTAAAACCAGAGTCGATTGTACAACTGTGATTATCATGAGTATAGATCCGTTTCAGGTGAGGTGAGGTGAAATTGGGTTTAACGTCGTGCTTGAGAATATTTCGCTCATATGACGACGTGCATGTGTGTGTATGTGTATGTGCGACTGCTTGTACTAGCCCAGACTTAAGCTGGTTTTATAGTGCTAGCCCACTGAGATACCATGCCGCAGTGAAGTATGAATACCCCACTCAGACACATTATATTGACTCCGAGCCGACCAGTCCTTGTTGTTCCCATTAATGCCGAGAGCCAGGCAGGGAACAACAAGTACCATATTTTAACGTCTTTTGGTATGATGCGGTCGGGGATCGAACCCGCGACCTTCCGCTCTCCGGGTGGACGCTCTAACCACTACACCACGGAGGCGGTCATTTGTTTCAGCAGTAAAACAGCTGTACAATGGTTGACAAATATACTGTGGCTTGGGTCAATTTTCCAATATTGTCTTATGGTTTGTTTACTGTTTAATGTCACTCTCAGCAATATTCAAGCTATATGATGGCAGTCTGTAAATAATCGAGTCTGACCAGACATTCCAGTGATTGACATCATGAGCATGCAGTTGGGATATGATGACATGCAACAACCAAGTCAGCAAGCCCTGCGGGTGAGCATGGGTCACCCAGATCTTCATTGGGGCAATTTTCCAAAAGATTTATAATGAAATGAGGACATATCATAGTAGGTCAATGCATGGGAGTCTTTTTTTGGTTTCTGATCTGGTCTGCTACCACTTTTTTGTAAGAATCCATGAAGATCCAGGTTAGAATTGATGTTCAGTAACCCTTGCTTGTCGTAAGAGGCGACTAACGGGATCGGGTGGTCAGGTTCGGTTGACACATGTCATCATATCCCAAATGTGTAGATTGATGCTCATGATATTGATCCCTGGATTGTCTGGTCCAGACTCGATTATTTACAGACCGCCGCCATATAACTGGAATACTGATGAGCGCAGCATTAAACAACAAACTAACCAACCAACCTTTTTGAAAGTCTGACATATCCTACATTGCTAAATATCTCAACACTGCCAGACGGTATTTCCCAGCATCTCAACAAGAAACAATCTGATACAACAGTATTGATAACTCACTCGCCTAAACAACCTGAATGTCACAGTTACTCAGGAAATGAGGAACAAGGCTCATTTAGCACAGCTCTTCCATCAGTACAACTGACACCTAGGGACAACAGCTTATTTACCCCTTCATAGAAACCAGCCATAAAGTATTCAGTGACAAGCAACGGTATCTTATCCTGAGGATGTCTTCCTACATTTTATGGGATAACAATGTTAAAAAAGTCCATGAGGTGATAGTGGATATGTGTCACAGTGGATTGGGATCGAGGGGATAAATCTGGTGGGGGATGGCTTTGTTGACTGACTGACTGAGTTTGGTTTTACGCCGCTTTTAGCAATATTCCAGCAACATCACGGCGGGGAACACCAGAAATTGGCTTCACACATGGCACCCATGTGGGGATTCGAACCCGAGTCTTCGGCGTGACGAGCCAACGCTTTAACCACTAGGCTACCCCACCGCCCAGATGGCTTTGTTGGTGGGTGGTGGAATAGCTAGTGGTTGTTGGAGGATAGTGGTTTTGATGGGTTGTAGCGTTGATGGTGGATAGTGGCCTTCTTGCTGGGGATGGCACTGAAGGTGGGTAGTAGCCTTGTTGGTGGATGACGGCTTCCTTCCTTTGGTGTTGGGGGATGGCTTCCTGGATGATGGTTGGTGGGGATGCCTTGTTGGTGGATGGTGGATGATGGCCTTGTTGGTGGGGATGATGGCTCCTTGGTGGGGGGGATGGCACTGTAGGTGGGGATGATGGCCTTGTTGGTGGATGATGGCTTCCTTTGGTGGGGATGATGGCTTCCTTGGATGGCTTAGCCTTGGTGGGGGGGATGATGGCTTGGCCCCTTGGTGGGGATGGCACTGTAGGTGGGTGGTAGTGGCAGCCTTGTTGGTGGATGATGGCTTCCTTTGGTGGGGGATGGACTGTAGGTGGGTGGTGCTTTGGTGTTGATGGTGGATGATGGCTTCCTTTGTTGGTGGATGATGGCTTCCTTGGTGGGGGGATGGCACTGTAGGTGGTGGTGGATGATGGCCTTGTTGGTGGTGGATGATGGCTTCCTTGGTGGGGGATGGCACTGTAGGTGGATGGTTGGTGGGGGTATGGCCTTGTTGGTGGATGATGGCTTCCTTTGTTGGTGGATGATGGCTTCCTTGGTGGGGGATGGCACTGTAGGTGGGTGGGTACTGGTGGGGGCTTGTTGGTGGATGATGGCTTCCTTTGTTGGTGGATGATGGCTTCCTTGGTTGGGGATGGCACTGTAGGTGGGTGGTAGCCTTGAGGACGGATAGTGGCCTTCTTGGTGGGGAGTAACTTCTTTGTAACACTGTAGGTGTGTGCTAGCCTTGATGGTGGATAGCAGCCTTCTTGCTGGGAATGGCAATGCAGGTAGCCTTGTTGGTGAAAATAACTCTAGTTTGAGCAATATAACTCATTAGAATACCATGTTTGAGTATAAAAATCCTTAACCCTGGCGTTAAATATAGTCTCACAACAGGTTGAGATTCCCAAAGCTATAGCCAAAAGAAAGTACTGGTTACATATTCTTGATATTTGAAGCCCATGTTTTTCTCCCAACTGCATCTAGTTTACATAACACATCGAAACACTGCCTGGGATATCT